TAAATAAATAAATTTATTTAAAATATATATATATATATATATATATAAAAGTAATAAATAAATAAAACCAAAACCCCGCAAAAGGTAGTATCATTATTATCCCCATTTTTCAAATGGGGACATTGAAGCTGAGAAGAGGTAAACAACCTGCCCAACTGGCCACTGGACGGAGTGGATGGGAACAGAGGCACCCATCGTCAGGCCTCCAGAAGCAGGACACCAGGGCTCCAGGCCAGAAGAGAGGGACACGAAGCACAGGGCAGCGGAGGGCCCAGGACCACGGTGAGGAAGGGGCAGCAGAAGCTCGGATGAGGCTCCGTGACCTGTCCCATCGCCTCAGTGACCAAAGCCCGACCTGGTCCAGCCCCTGCTCAGCCTCTCGTTAGCTAGTGACTCACCTCTGATGGTCCCTTATCACAACATTTGCCCAGATCCCCACGGGGACCCCCAAACCCAGCAGGCAAAGCCCTGCCTCTGGACCAAGGCTCACTCCCCCGCACCTTCCTCTGCCTGGCCAAGCTCCACTTCCTCCCAGAAAGCTTCCAAGATAAGCCAGCCCTCCACTGACTGGCTACATACAACTTAAGGGCCCTCAGTTTACTTTCCAAAGATGTTCCTCCTGTCTCTCCTTCAACCACGCAGCCACAGAGAGCAGAGACCACGGCCCCAGCCCGGCCTGGTCCAGAGTGGTGGGGCCCTCGATGAGAACCGCCCAACGGCTAACAGGAAACGAGGCGCCAGGGAGACAAGGGAGAAAGGAGAGGGCAGAGACGGGAGATTCAGAGCAACCTCCAGGAGAGCCAGGGCCCTGGCGGGCAGAGGGGAGGAACGCCCAGAGCAAGACAGAGCCAGCCCCGGGCCGCGGGCAGCCAGAGGGGGAGCCAGGCCGCCCGGGCCAGACGGGAGCCACGCTCACCTCCCGCCACCTGCCAGGGGGGCAGAGCCAGGCTGGGCGACGAGGTCAGAGAGACGGGCAGTGCCAGGGCGAGGGTCACACCGTGACAGGGCAAAACCAAAGGCTGCCATGAGCCGGGGAAGGGGCAGCCTTGGCCCGGGAGCCGGTCCACGGGCGGGGAGGCTCAGTGCGGATCTGTCCTGCGCCTGCGTGTCACCTGCATGTCTGCCTGGCCCTGGTGGGTGACCCTGCTCTGGGTGTGCGGGGGCCGAGCTGGGGGCAGGACTGACCCCTTGTCCTCAGAGACTCCGGGGCTCAAATCCTCCTCTGGGCAGCTTGCTCTTCCTGCCGGAGGCCAGCTGCCCACCTGGAAACCAGCTGAGGCCTCTGATGTGGGGCGCAGGGGAGGGTAAGGACCAGGGCTCTCGGGGCACAGAGGATGGCAAGGGTGGGTCCCCGAGAGAAGGAGGGGTGGCGAGCAGCCTGAGGGAGACCAAGTCTGAGCCAACTTGGCGGCTGGTCCCTCTACCGCCCCTCCCCCGCCCATCCCACACCCGGGGCTGAGCTCAGGGCTATATATACCCCCCAGCAGGGCTGCTCCGCTCTGCCGAGCCCCCGTCCACTCCGGCAAGGACCTGCCTTGGCTCTGCCCCCGAGCCAGTAAGACGAGATGGGGCTAAGCCAGCGTCTGGACCCCAGCGGGACGTGTACTCACGGAGGACAGGTGCCATGGGGGCTGGGTCGGTCGCCAGACTCCGCGGGGCGCCTCCCGGTCCCCCTGTCCAGAGCCTGACCCACCTGAGCTGGGGCCAAGCAGGAGGCAGGCTGGCTTCGCAGAGCTCACCAGGGCCACTCGGGGTAATGGGGAGCGCTGACCGCTGCCCCACCCGGCCCCCGCTCCCACTTACTACCTGAGCGACTCTGGGAGAAGCTCTTGGCTTCCCTGAGCTTCTCTCTCTGCATCTGCACAGGCTGTCACCCCTCCCCCGTCACTAAGAGGCTCCTGGCCTCGGCCCCTCCCCGTCTCTCAGCACAGGGAAGGAGAGCCGCAAAGGACGCCGGCAAGGCCAGGACAGTTTGCCAAACACTGTTTTCATCTTGCTTCCCTCACTCAACGGCTCCCCTCCTGCCAAACACAGTTCCACCCCAAGGCCTGCTGGAAGTGCACAGCCTTGCCTTTCCCAAACCCTGCTTCAGTCACAATCGCCAGGGGCCCAAAGATCAAGTCTCTTAACCCCTATACCTTCCTATGTGAATACGGATAGAAATATCCACCCTTAACGACTAAAACAAGCGAAGCCACCCAAATGTCCATCAACTGGGTGAACCGATAAACACCATGGGGTCCATCATATGACGGAATGTGACTCGGTCTTCAAAAGGAAGGACTTCTGGGCTTCCCTGGTGGCGCAGTGGTTGAGAGTCCGCCTGGCGATGCAGGGGACACGGGTTCCTGCCCCGGTCCGGGAGGATCCCACATGCCGCGGAGCGGCTGGGCCCGTGAGCCATGGCCGCTGAGCCTGCGCGTCCGGAGCCTGTGCTCCGCAACGGAAGAGGCCACAACAGTGAGAGGCCCGCATACCACAAAAACAAACAAACAAACCAAAAAAAGGAAGGACTTCTGACACCTGCTACGACACGGAGGAACCTTGAGGACGAGATGCTCAGTGAAACAAGCTGGACACAGAAGGACAAATGCTGTGTGACTCCACTTACATGAGGTCCGTAGAGGAATCACAGCCATAGAGACAGAAAGTGGATGGTGGTTACCAGGGGCTGGGGGTGGGGGGGAGTGAGTGTTTAATGGGGACAGATTTCAGTTTGGGAGGATGAGAAAATTCTAGAAACGGATGGTGATGATGATCTCACAACAATGTGAGTGCACTTAATGCCACTGAACTGCACACTGAGAAATGGTTACAACGGCCTATTTTACCACCACACACAAAGAAACAGCTGGCCCACGGCGTCCCTCAAACACCGTCGGCTGGCTCTCCACGGTCAGCACCTCCTGGGCCTTCCCCACACGGCAGCACCCTCGGCTTTCTCCCTATGCTGAGCGCCTCTTGCCCACCTGTGTTTGCCAGACCATTTGTCCCCTTAAAGCAGGAAGAGGAACCCTGAGAGGCGCCTGGCCACTGATCACCGCCCCACCCAGGGACAGGACAGCTCTCCAGCCACACCCGGGACCCGCCCTACACACCCCTCCCCCTCACACCTCAGCTCCTGACCAGCACGCACCCCACTCCCCACCAAAGCGGCGGGAAGAGCCCAGGATACCAGAGCCCCCGCCTGCCCAACTCCATCAGCAGCCCCACCCCGGACACACAGGTGCTCCATACACAGCGGCTCTCTCCTCCACGAAGCTTCCGTAGGGACCAAAAGTAAGAAGCAAGCATTAGAGCAGGAAGTAGTTAAGCAGGGAGGCCTGGCGGGCCCGACCCGGGGCGTGGAGGCCCACAGAAGTGGGGCCCCAGCAGAGCCACAGCAGAGGGGCTGGTAAGGAGGGATGAGGGCTTTGACTGCTGACCAAGGAGCAGACCCAGGGTCTAGCTCCAGAGGACCCTGCTTCCCCAACAAGCAGGAGAGAAGGAATCCCTTGGCCCTGCAGGGAAGGTGTAGGTAAAGGATGAAGTGGGCGGGGCTGTGCAGCTCCACGACTCCCTAGACCAGTAACTAAGCAGATTTGAGTTTGGTCCATTGAATTGTGTTGCTGTCCCCCCAACATTCACGTCCACCCAGAACCTCACAACGTGGCCTTATCTGGAAACAGGGTCTTCACAGACGTAATGAGTTAAGATGAGGTCATACTGGATTAAGGTGGGCCCTAAATCCAATGATTGGTAACCTCTTACAGGTGTCCGTGTAAGAGGAGGACACAGAGACACAGAGAGGATGGCCATGTGACAACAGGGTCAGAGATGGGAGTGATACAGCTACGAGCCAAGGACACCAAGGGCTGCCATCCGCCACCAGAAGCCAGGACGGAGGCACGGAACAGATCCTCCACGAGGAACCAACCCCAGGGACCCCTTGAGTTCAGACTTCTGTCCTCCTGACCCACGAGGATACATTTCTGTTGTCCAAGGCACCCCTTAAATTTGTGGCAATTCTTACAGCAGCCCTCAGAGATGAGCTGGGTCAACCCCCATGGGCCCCCCACACAGCCGACAAAGCGTCTGCGCTGGGGGAGGGGCACCCGTGTACAGGTGGTCGCCTGGCCTGGAGCCATCTCATGGGGGGGGCAGGGCGAGACCCTCTGCTGTCAGGGGCTTCAGCCAGTCAGAGACCCCCCTCAGCTGCCCAAGACCCACGTTTCAAGCTGAGGGTCCTGGCGGGCTTTCCAGTGTCAATGGGGGCTGACCTGAGCCTCTCAACAGCCGTTCAGTGTTCGTTTTGCTCCCCCAGATACCCTCTCTTCCATCCAAAAGTCAACACAGCCCCGGGCAGACCGCTCAGTCCTTCCCACGGGGCTGCTGGACATTGTGTCTCTGTATGTTCCCACCCTCTGTGGCTCAGGAAGACTTAGCCTTACCTCATGGCTCTCGGCTGGAGGGGAACGTCCCTGAGGGAAGGGTCCTCAGCCTCTCTGGGGACACGCCTGTCTGCCTTGTGTACAGTTACATGTGTGCTCACCCTCACCGAGCTGTGAGCAGGGTCTAGATCTGCCCCACCCTGGCTGACACACAGTAGGCTCCTGCATGGGGAAGGGAGGGAGGGAATGAGCCAGGACGGCCTTCCTAACCGCCTACACAGCCAAGGTGGGAAGCTGGGAGAAGATGAGGCATTTGCCTGGGGGATGGCTAGAGGGATTTACACAGCCTGCCCCGGGGGGGGGGGGGGGGGGGTGTTCTACCAGTCTTCCAGTACCACATTCTCACCATCCTCCACATCCACCCAAAGGCGTCTCCTCCGAGGCCCTCCCATCCCTTGGGAGCCCAGGACAGAGTAAAGCAGCGTCCACCTGGGAGGAGCCCCAAGAAGTCACCCCCCTCCGTCACTTGGCAGGAGCGTGGTTGCTGTGCTGAGGCTGTTGCCAGGCCTGGACCGTGAGTTGGGGGGCGCTGCTGGCCAGGCCCGACAGCCTCCTTACCATACATCTTGCCTTCGTCTGAGAGGATGATCTTGCGCCGACCGCAGGGCGGGTAGATGGCCAGGGCCTCCTGGAAGCTCTGCTCGATGTCGGGGCTCCACACGCCCTCCGCGTCATTGTCGATGGGCTTGTCCAAGGCCTGGCTGCCCCCAGAGACGTTGCTCCCCTCGGGGGAGTTGGGAGAGCTCCACTCGTTGGAGGTAATGGTGCCGGCCGTGCCCTCCAAGGCTCCGCTTGGAGGAGCGCCCGTTGGACCTGTTTGGGCAGAAACCACGGCATTGGTGGATGAATGTGTGGACCAGGGTTGGGGGGGGGGACCCAGGGAGCACCACCCCTGAACCAGGTGCTCCTCCTTTCCTGGCAATCAGGGCACAGGACCTCAAAGGGAAAGGCCGGGGATCCCAGGGAACAAAGAGTGAGGTGGAAGATTTGGGGTGTCAAGGGCAGGTTATCTCCCATCCATAGGCCTCAGCTTCCCACCCTGTCAAAGGAGCTCAATGACCAGGCTCCCTCTGATCATGGCTCTAAGAACCCAGATGGAGCTGAGAAGTTGGAGACGAGGACCAAGTGCCAGGGATGCTCTACATTAAATCAAAAAGGGGCAAAAGGATGCAAAACATTGTACACCATTGGTGGGAACAGAAAATGGGGCAACCACTGGGGAAAACAGTATGGAGGTCCCTCAAAAAAATCCAAATAAGAGCTACCATATGATCCAGCAATTCCACTTCTGGGTATACACCCAGAAGAACCAAAAGCAGGGTCTCGAAGAGATTATTTATACACCCATGTTCACAGCAGCACTATTCACAATAGCCAAGAGACAGAAGCAACCCAAGTGTCCATGGATGAATGAAAGCATAAACCAAATGTCGTATCTATATACAGTGGAGTATTATTCAACCTTAAAAAGGAAGGTTGAATAACATGGTTGGACATGTTATAACATGGATGGACTTTGAGGACATTATCCTAAGTGACAGAAGCCAGTCACAAAAGACAAATACTGTGTGATTCCACTTATATGACATCCTTAGGGTTCTCAAAGTCATAGAGGCAGAAAGTAGAACGGTGGTTACCCCGGGCTGGGGGAGGAGGAGGTGGGGAGTTGCTGTTTAAGGGGTATAGGGTTTCGGTTTTGCAAGATGAAAAAGTTCCGGAGATGTGTTGCACAACAACGTGAATATACTTTTCTTTTTCTGTTTTAAGTTTACTTTTTATGTTTTATTTTAATTTTTACGGAAGTAGAGTTGATTTACAATGTTGTGTTAGTTTCAGGTGTACAGCAATGTGATTAGTTATACATATACATAGGTCCACTTGTGAATATACTTTTAACATTACTGAACTATACACTTAAAAATGGTTAAGATGGGGCTTCCCTGGTGGTGCAGTGGTTAAGAATCCGCCTGCCAATGCAGGCGACACAGGTTCGAGCCCTGGTCCAGGAAGATCCCACATGCCGTGGAGCAACTAAGCCTGAGTGCCACAACTACTGAACCTACACTCTAGAGACCACAAACCACAACTACTGAGCTCACGCGCCACAACTACTGAAGCCCACGCGCCTAGAGCCCATGCTCTGCAACAAGAGAAACCACCGCAATAAGAAGCCCACGCCCCACAACAAAGAGTAGCCCCCGCTCGCTGCAACTAGAGAGAGCCTGCGCGCAGCAACGAAGACCCAATGCAGCCAGAAATAAATAAATAATTAATTTTATTATTTTTTAAATGGTTAAGATGATAAATTTTGCACCATAAAATTATGGTTTAATTTTAACCATAATTAAAATATGAAACATGCAAAGTAAAATTCAGGTCGCCATTCTCTTACTCCATCCCAGCTCAGGCTCTTTTCAGAGGAAGATTCTAGCCCTGGCAGATTCTCACATGTTGGGGATATGGTGAGGTTGAATGGCTGGTACCTCCAGAAGGTGACAACACAACCTTATTCTAGTCACTAGCATGAGACAAACCCAGTGATCTCTTGGCTCCAACTGTCCAAGCCGTGAATTTCTGGACATGATTCTCAGGAGTTTGGGAAGAAGCAGTACATACTAGTACTCTTAAGGCAGCTTTTGGATTATGAGTACCAGGTGGGTACCATTTGCCTCCCAAAGTCCTCCCAAGGTCCCAGCATCCCTCCTCTCCCAGCCACCAAGCGCATCTGCATAGGAGGACCCCCTCCCCATCACACATGTCACCCCCTCCCCCATTAGCCATGAGGAGCAGTGTGGTCCAGCAGCCCAAACCCAGGGCCAGGAATTGAAACACGAGCTCCCACCCACTTGCATCCAGGACCCTCTGAGATAAGACCTCCCCAGAGTACCCCTCACTTTCTCTCCCTTCCCCAGGCCTGTCAGAGGTACACATTGTTCACAGATAGGTGGGTATGAGGGTGAGCATGGTCAAGTTCACAAGGAGGAGCTGAGTGCGGGGCAGCATATCCTGGGAGGGGTTGGAGGTTCCAAGAAGCTTGCCCTGGCTGCTGGCACAGACATGCAGTCGGAAGGAGGTTAGAACCACTGAAATTCAAAGTACGAAACCTAACCCAATCCTCTCAGCTTGAGGATGGGGACACTGAGACCAGAAAGGCCTAGGGACGTGCCCGAGGTCATGCAGCAAATCAGTAGTGTAGCTGGGTCTGGATCTCCGCCCTCCAGGGTCCCAGGTCTTTTAGCATAACTAATGTCAACTTCCTCTCTGTGGCCAGTTAAAATAAGTTTTTCCTCGGGCTTCCCTGGTGGCGCAGTGGTTGAGAGTCCGCCTGCGGATGCAGGGGACACGGGTTCGTGCCCCGGTCCGGGAAGATCCCACATGCCGCAGAGCGGCTGGGCCCGTGAGCCATGGCCGCTGAGCCTGCGCGTCTGGAGCCTGTGCTCCGCAACGGGAGAGGCCACAACAGTGAGAGGCCCGCGTACTGCAAAAAAAAAAATAATAATAAGTTTTTCCTGAAGTGTGTCTGAGGGGGTCACTTGATCTGGAAGAAACTAGCTTATTCTCTACCAGAAATTCTGGTCTTGATCCTATTGTGAATGTTGAAACATTTTTCTGTACCTTCCAAAACAAACTTCTTTAAAGAGTTCCTAACTTTAATTTCTGGCAATACGGTAGATAAGATGGTTTTTAAAACTCACTCTGTAAAAGAAATCTAGAAACGATAAAACATAAGAAGTACACTTTTAAATACATAGCTGACTTCAGAAGAAGGTAAAGAGGCCCCAAATGAGACAACTCAAACCTGTAACAACAGGCGGATGAGCTGTTACTACAACCCCAGGAAGCAGAAGATGAAGCTGATCTTAGTAATGAAGACACGGGGTTTTAGTGGCCACCCAGAGACCTTACACCCGAGAGATACAGGGAGGTTGGAACTGTGAACAATACCTCAATCCTCAGAGAAAAGGTAGACTATTCACAAAATAGACTAGGAAGATTGCCTGTCTTGGCCGAAGCCCTAGGTATAAAAAAGAATTTTCTTTCCTAAGAATTTGTAGCCAAGGGCCTGCCTTTAAGTGGATTCGAGATTTGTATTTTATATTACGCAGGAACCCCCAGCCAATTCACAAAAATAAATAGTGATCCCAGGCTGAAAATCTCTGAGAAGACAATCTTAACTCAGACTGCAGAGATCCAAAGACTCGCTCAAGAATCTCAAAATCCAAAATTACAAATTGTAAGAGGAAACAGTCCACCATGATCAAGATTTGATGGGATTGGATCCCCCAAGAACTATAGATAATTGAACAATCAGATAAAACTATTATATAATTGTATTTAAAGTGATTATTGACTTAAGGAATTGGAAAGATGAGAATTAGACACTATCAAAAAGTACAAAGCAGACTGGGAAAAGAACCAAATAGAATATTTAGAAATAAATATTTTAGCCACTGAAGTTAAAAACTCAACGACTGAGAGTAACAGCAAATTAGACACAGCTAGAGAAAGAATCAACAACCTGGAAGATATATCTGAGGACATTATTCATAAATGCGTTAAAAAGAATGAAGATAAAGAGCAAGAAGAACACAATAAGGCAGTTCAACATACCTTCAATTAACATTTGAGAAAGAGTATAGAAAATGAAATAGAACAACATTTGAAAATATAATGGCAAGGAATTTTCCAGGATTAATGAAATACATGAATCCTCCAATTCAGGAACCATACTAAATCCTAACCAGGATAAATTCAAATAAAATGAACAGATATTATAGAGACACTGAAGAATACCAAAAACAAAGAGTAGATCTTAAAAGCATCCAGAGTGAAGGGGCAGATTACCTACAAGGGAAAGATTATCATACTGATTGTATATATTGATAGTGAACTTGTCAACTGGAAAACCCACGATAACATCTCCAAATTATGGAGAGAAAAATAACTGTCAACCTAGAATTAGAAACCCAACCTAAATATCATTCAAGAATGAACATTAGGGCTTCCCTGGTGGCACAGTGGTTGAGAGTCCGCCTGCCGATGCAGGGGACGCGGGTTCGTGCCCCGGTCCGGGAAGATCCCACATGCCGCGGAGCGGATGGGCCCGTGAGCCACGGCTGCTGAGCCTGCGTGTCCGGAGCCTGTGCTCCGCAACGGGAGAGGCCACAACAGTGAGAGGCCCGCGTACCGCAAAAAAAAACCCCAAAAAACAATAACAACAATGAGGATCACTAAGTTTGGCCACACAATACATACACACATGCGAGTGCAGAAAAACCATATTTCTGAACCATAAGCTCAGAAGACGCATTTGATACAAGACCCATTCACAGTAAAAACGCTTAGCAAACTGTAGAAACAAAAGGAACTTCCTTAATCTAACAACAGATTTCTTCCCAAAACCTATTGTGATATTTTGATTTATAAGAAGAAGTACACATTTGGTCTTTGTCCTGCTTCTGACACAGAGCCCCCAAAATCCTTGAAATTTCCTACGTGCTGAGAGCCATAAAGGTATCTTTTGTTACGGGAATGAGGTGCACCTGAGGATGGGGGCTGGTGGCCAGGAGAACCACCCAAGTGATTAGAGGGTGGAACTTTCAGCCCCACCCGCCCGACCTCTGGGGAGGGGAGAGAGGCAAGAGTTGAATTAATCGCCAACAGCCAACGATGTAATCCACCATACCTCAACAGTGAAGCCTCCATAAAAACACCAAAGGAGAAGGTTCTGAGAGATTCTGAGTTGGTGACCATGTGCAGATATGGGGAGAGTGACTGCCAACAGGAAGGGCATGGAAGTTCCACGCCCTTTC